GCCTCTCCTGCTCTGCTGTGGGAAACAGGTCTGGGAGCACTTGTGGGGGAGCTGGAGATGTCCCTCCCTGGCCCCGTGCAACAGCCCAGGTCTCTGGCAGAGCCCCGGAGCTTTGCATGTGGTGGGGAGGCTCGTTAGTGCTCTTTGCATACCTGCTGATGGGCGGGGGGGCTGCTCCGGCTCGGGACCTTGCTGGGGCAGGAGAGCAAATGCAGCAGTGGAGGCTGGCACAGTGCTCCGGGGCTGCATGGTGGCACAGTGGTGAGGGACATGGCACAGTGACGGGGGACATGGCATGGTGCCAAGGGCCTTGGCATGGCAGCAAGGGACATGGCAAAGCAGTGAGGGATGTGGCACTGTGATGAGAGACATAGAATAACAGTGAGGGACACGTCACAGTGTCGAGGGACATGGCACAGTGTCGAGGGACATGGTACATCATCAGGGACATGGCACAGCGGTGAGGGACGTGGCAGAGCCATGAGGGGTGATGCCCAGTCTGGGGGCACAGTCCTCAACCCCGCGGGCACCATCCAAGGCCAGGAGGGCAGGAGCCCATCCCCATCCCTGTGCCCGCTGATGGCGTGGCTGTAAAAGCTTCCCCAGAATACATCCCGACTCCCACTCCTCCATCCCTCGCTCCCGGCTCCTACATGCAGCTGCCAGCTCACGCGCAGCGCTGGCTCCGCACGTCAGCGCCCACCTCCGCTGTCCCCCCGGCCCTGCCCACGCAGCCACCCAGCACCCCGGCCCGGCTGAGCACCCCCGGGAGCCCCCCGTGGCACTGGGGCAGCGCCGAGGGCTGGCACAGACACTGGGGATGAGCTCGGGGTCCGCCCTCCGCAGCCACTGCTGATCCACCCGACGGGCAAAATGGGCTCAAAGGATTCATTCACCTTTCCTTTTCAGGCTGTGGTTTCTCCAGCTGCAGAAAACCTCTAGCACCGAGCAACGGGAGAATTCCCAGATGCTCTCATGGGGCATGTTCTAAAAGCATTCATCCATCCTACCCTGCCACATTTGGGCACCTCAGTGTGCTGCCTCTGCTCGGGGATGCCGCTATTTTAAGACCAGGCTTTGGGGGAATACACTGGCAGCCCCCCTAATCCTGTTGGGAGAAGGATTTGGAAGGGAAAACTCTGGGAGCTCCTCCTTTCCAGACTGCAGGAGAGGGCAGACAGGCAGCGGGCACAGGAAACAGCTGGGTGTTGTTCTGCCTGGATGAAAAGCCTTTTGTGCAGGAACACGGCCGGTGAGGCCCCAGCACCAAGACAACCCCACCACGGGGACAGCCACGCCCAGCTCCCGGCCCTGTGGTTCCTCCTCGTGTCCTGATTGTTGCTGACACGGAGTTATCCCTCCTTCAGCCCCTGGCTCCCCACTGTCCCTCCCTGCAGGCGAGACCAGGGGTGCTCTGGCATCGGTGCAGCAGTGGAGCCAGATCTTCCCAGCCAAGGGACTCATGTGCTGGTGTCTGGGCTCGCCAGGACCAGCCCCTGGCAGGCTGAGCTGTGCTGCCCTGGGCGTGGGCACAGAGTGATTCCTGCCCAGCTCTGTGCCAGGGTGGGAGCACCTCGCTGCCCCCCAGCTCCCCAGCCAGGAATTCCCTGTTCTGGGGGGGCTGCAACACAGCAGATCTGGGGAAGGGGGGAGGCTCAGCCGTTCATTCCCACATTCCCAGGCCACACATCAGCACTTGCAGTGCCAGGAGCTGCCAGCAGCCGTGTGCCCACGGCCACCAGCTGGGGACCAGGGACCGGCTGCGGGTGGGGGCACAGGGCAGGACATGAACCCCCCCAGGGCTGCCATGCGAGCCGAGGTCTCCACAGCGGCGGGTGGGAGCCAGCTTGGCATTGGGATCTCAGAAACCAATCAGGGCCAGCAGGCGGAGCCCGGGCTCAGCCGGTGCCGGCCGTGCTGTGGGCAAGCAGCTCAGAGCTGTGCCACAGACCCGGGGCTTTGGCAGGAGCCTCGGCCATGGCCAAGAACCTGAGCGTTCCTGTGGCTGGGCTGGCACAGGGAGCCTGACCACAGGGAGAGCACGCCTTTACTGCCCTGTTCCCTGTCTGTCCAGGGTGTTTATCCAGAGTGAAAGAGCTGCAGTGTGAGCGCAGGAAGGGCGGGGGTGGAGACAGGGGCACACAAACGTCCTTCTGATGCTGCTCCCGGAGCACACCCCGATTTTTTTCCCTGTGTCCCCAAAGTGCTGGTGCCAGACACGGCTGGCAGTGCCCAGCTGAGCACGTGCCCAATGTCTGCAGAGCCTTTGGCATCCCTCTGAAGTGCCCTGGGCTCTCCCAGCTTTCCGTCATGAGGGGGGTGAGTGTTGGTGTCCTCAACAGCCCCACTCCACTAGTGACTCCACTAGTGACTCCACTAGTGCCCACAGCATCAGGGCCCTATGCCTGCTCTGCTCCCGAGCAGCACCTCCATCCCAACAGGAGCCATTTCCATCCCAACAGGCACCCAGAACCTGGAAAACACCAGGCAACATCCCAGGAGATCTGTGTGCCGAAAAAACATGGTGCAGACCCGTGTCCAGGCCTGATGCAAATTTAATTGAATGGGAATGAGATGTATTTTATGTCCTTAAAGCACATTAAGTGCTCGGAAGTTAATTGGTATTTAATTAGCATATATTAAGCACTTTAATAATACTCAAGGAAAAACAACGTGGTGTTACAGATGCTTTATCAAAAGTCACCCTGACAAACGAAAGATGAATGTGCTGAACACAGCAGCAGCCAAACAGGGGGGCACTTGGGGCTGTGTCCCCTCCTGTCCCCCCTGCCTGGGGACCACAGGCAGCAGCATCACCACCCGGGGGGGCCTGCTGAGCCCCCCTCTTCTGCACCCACTGGGAGAGGTGCCTTGGAACCGGGGTGCAGCAGGGAGATGGGGTGAGGGACAGAGCTGGGGTGCAGGATGGAGCTGGGGTGCAGAAGGGATGGGGGTGCAGGAGGGATCAGAGTTCAGGAGGGATGGGGTGCAGGAGGGATCAGAGTTCAGGAGGGATGGGGGTGCAGGAGGGATCAGAGTTCAGGAGGGATGGGGGTGCAGGAGGCCCCCCCGTGCAGAGGCAGCCGCAGCCAAGTGCGTTTCCTGCGGGGCCGAGGGGCCGAGCATCCTCTCAAAAGGGGAAGGGGGGAACCCGTCACAGCCCAGTGGCCTCAGCCCCGCTCCCACAGACCTGCACCCTGAGCAGGGGCAGGTGGGGTCCCCGTGATGACTCCCCACAGCACCAGCTCCCACCAGTAGCTGCTCCCCCCAGGCCCCCTTTGGGGAAGAAACAGTGATTCTGGTCCATGTTTGGTTTGGCATTTTTTGTGGTGTTGCCATGACAACCATCCCAGTGACATCTTCATGCTGTTTGTCTCCTTCTGAGGGTTGCATCATTTTCCTTCCTGAGTGAGCAGCTGCTGGTTCCCGGGCTCACCTGGGGCCCAGGGTGCCCCTGGGCCCACGGCCCCCCCAGCCCCCAGAGCTGCCCAGGGCAGGGGTGCAGCAACCCCCAGCTCTGAGCCAGCAATGCTCCAATCCCGGCATTCCCTCGCTCCAGCATCTCTACAGCACAGTCCTCTGTGAGCACATCTTTGTGTCTGTGTCCCTGTGCGGGTCACCTCCTGGGCTGGGAAGTAGAAAACAAGCTGAAAATAGAGAGGTGACATTGGCAGGGCTGTGCCAACCCCACGGGGACAGGGGAAAGCTGGGAACTGCCCTGTCACAGCAGCTACGAGGAGCTGCCTGTGGAGAGAGGGACAAGCATCTGCCTCACGCCGGGGTTTCCTCCAGACTGCTGGGGAGGGGAACAGCCCGAGCCCAGCACGCAGCTCCTGCCCTGGGGAAGCTGCCATTGCCCCACTC